AGGAAGGAAGGAAGGAAGGAAGGAAGGAAGGAAGGAGAAAGAAAAGTGGGCATGCTAACTCTAAGTTTTGACTTGGAGTTCCTCCTTTCTATGGTAATTGAGCCATACCAATAAAGCAACCCTTCTTGCATAGTAGATTATTAGGTTTTGTTATCATTAGAGTTAGGCGGCTAACAGCAAAGTCTACAGTTTGAATTTATCAGTCTCTCTGCTGGAGAAAGTTGAAGCTTTCTGCTTCCCATCAAGATTACAGCCTCGAAACCCCTATACAGGGTCACTATGGGCAGCAACCAACTGCACGGCATAGAGCCACCATCAGCGGTATAGGTTCCCTCTTCTGAGTGATGTCATATACCAACAGCAGAAGAGACACAGACATACATGGTGGGCGAGGGTAGGTGGAGACAAAAGCTTAGGATGACTGACTGTCATCAGAATCTTCCAGGACAGAAACTCATTCAAGAAAGAACCAACCTGTACAGACTTGGATGTTGACCTTGAGCCTCCAGAACCATAATACATAATACAGAATGTCTTCTTTAACGTCTCTCACTAGCTCTGATAACGTAGTGGTTACGAATCAGGCTGTGAACCGCAAGGTCAGCAGTTTGAAACTACCAGCTGTTTCACGGGAGGAAGATGAGGTTTTCTGCTCCCATAAAGATTTACAGCCTTGGAAACCCGGTACAGGGTCGCTATGAGTCGAAACCAACTCCATGGCACCCAACAACAGCAACAACAACACTTGTGGCACTAGTTATGGCAACTAGTCTTTGTTATGAGTTTAGTAATGATAACTTAGTAGCTAAGGTAACTAAGACAGTCGCCTGTCATGAATTTATAGCAAATTCTCTTCTTAACCCAAATATCCAAAGAATTCATGTAAACCTACACATGTGTACTTCTGGAGGCTATTATACTCCAAAGGTACTGTTTGTATACACATATGCACACATGCACCGTGTCCAAAAGCTGACACACAGTTACCAAATATTAGTGAGATAGGATACGCTTAAGGAGTGAGCTGCCTCGTTTGTTATGTTCCACGGGACCCATTAGCGACTTGTGTGGCTTTGAGCAGCTTCCCTCAAGTGTGTGGAACTGAGGCCCTGACACTTAGTAGAGTTTCTGAAATTTCTTGAGAGAAGGGAGTGCACGTTCAGCACACTTCCCATCAGTTATGTGGGAAGCATGTGTCTTACCTTAATTTCTTTCAGCAGATCACCAAATATTAAGGAGCTATTACAGATATCTTCAAAGACGTTCCCAAAGATTTGTAGCCTGCTGAACTGTGGAGTGTTGCACATACACATTTTCTGGAGCTCCTGTGAGGAAGACAAGTCCAGCCCCTGTCAGAATTTCTCCACTGCCTTTCTGGACCGAGTGTCTCAGGTTGGAGAATCAATCACTCTGAGACTTCCCCTTAAAGTAAGTATCCAGCTTCCCTGTCCAAGGGCCTGGGGTTGGCAGAATCAGTGGCTAACCCACATAATTGATTCCTTCCCAAGACTGACAATCCAGCTGACTTGCTCACACCAGTGTCTTTTCTTTGTGTCTTTATATCTTAGGTCTTTTCATCTTTTGATTCATTGTCTTACGTCCTCCTTTCAGAGGTCTACCCTTCTGTCTCCACACCTTCTCCAAACCCTTTCTCTCTTTCAACAGTCCCTTCAGCCGAAATTTCTCATCAAGGTCTGGTTCTTTCAAATGTTGACTGCTGTTTTCTTTTTTCCTTGATTTTTATCCTTAAAATAAAATGTCTCTTATTTAAAATTCATGGAAAACTTCCACGGCACCTCAATTCCATTTTTCCATGAACATGGTGAAGCCTTCTTATACACATGTCTTCGTCACAGCCCAAGGTGCACTTTAAGTCACACTTGCTGGGTGCTGTCCGGGTGATTCCATGGTGACCCCATGTGCCCCACGTGACAGAGTAACACTGATCCATGTGATTTTCTAAGCTGACTGACTCGACAGCACTTAACAACAACAACAATCTTTACTGGATGGGACAAAGATGAGACTTCCTGCTTTCCTTGAATGATTTAAAACCTAAGAGACCCTATACAGCATCATTATGAGTCCAAGCCGATTGGACAGAACATAGCAACAGCAGTCGTTACTAGAGCACATCACCAGGTTCTTTCCCCAGCAGAGCTGATGGATGGATGGGTCCCATTTGCCAAACGTTTAATTATTAGCTGAGTGCTTAACTTTTGCGTTACCCAAACTCCTTCATGTCTCACTTTCATACATTTTGAGATTTTAAGTAAAACTTGGCTATATCATATGACTCACCAAGTCTCTTTTCACTTGTCATTAGCATTCTGTTACAGTTCCTGGGTGGCACAAAGGGCTAAGTACTTAATGATTAACCAATAGGTTAAAAGTTCAAACCCATCTAGAGAGGATCTTTGGAACACAGGCTGTCACTGTCTTTGGAGGCTGTGAAAATCCTACGGAGCAGTTCTACTCAAAAACTAACAACAACAACATCATGCATTAGGCAAATATTTTCTCAGATCCTTCTGCCATCATCCCTCAAAGATTTTAATGACTGTAACTACCAGGCAAGGCCTAATGCTCTCAGTTACAAAGTCTCCAACTAACCAGTCTCCAAAACGCCTTCTTGGATTTCAACCTGTTGCCATCACCTGCTCACGGTGAATGTTTTCAGCAACCAGAAGCTTTGCTGTGTTCGACCTAGAAATGTCCACTCATGTCATGTCCATCATTGAGATGAGTCTCTGCCCACAATATTTACCCTCCTTGACCTATAGCACCAGTTACATTTCAACACTGTCTTCCTTACCTGTTCCAACTTCTGCTCATGGTGTTTCACTGCCTTGCTCCCAGTAAAATCATTCTTCAGAAGATCTTGCTTTGCAACGATGTCCTTTTGGAAGTGCAAGAACCTTTTATATCTGTCAGTTTTTGTAATGCCAGCTAAATAGGAGTCTACATACTGGTATTCATCCTTGCCAGGTGGAGACATCACACACTGGCGGCTGGACCGCATGGCTTTGTATTTCAGGACTCTTATCTCTGATAATCTCAACCCATCTCTCTTCAGCTGCTCAGACAGAACTGCACTCATCCCCTCTTTCTTTTCCTTTGCAATTTCCTCTGGAATGGAATCCACTTTTGTAACATCTGGGTGGGAAACAGAAGGCTTGGGGTTCAAGTACCTGAATAGTGGTGTGTTTTTAGCATCATTGGGAACCAGAGCAGTATTGATGGTAAAATCCACGAAGGCATCCTTCATTTTTGCAACCTTCTTGTCAGGTTGCTTTCTCTCTCTGGAAACTTTTTCCTTCCTTGGCCTATTGGCATTGTGCCAGTGGCATAAGATGCTCTCTGGGGGCCTGTAGAGTTTATTGGGATTTAGGTACCCAGAGGTGTAAAGGAAGACATCATCTCTGTGATCTTTTTGAAGCTTATTGAGAAGCTTGGTGAGGTTGCACAGAGTCTTCACGCCTCCAGTCTCACAGTGTTTCCACTTTAGGTAAACTGTCAGAAATGAGAATGAGACTAGTTAATGCTACTCTTAGATCAGCCACAAAACTTCATGTGCATTTGCCCAGCTGGTGTATCCCAGACTCAAGGGAGGAGTCCACAGATGAGGAGTGGAAGATAGTATGAAGGGGATTCCCAAAGTTCATGGGAAAAGGAGTCAAAAGCTAATGTTGTATTCCTTTGTGTCTTTCTTACTTTTTTAGAGAGCTTTGAGATTTTAGGTAAAACTTAACTACATATTATAACTCATCAAGTCTCCCTTCACCTGTCATTAACCATATGTTATAGTCTCTGGGTGGCACAAAAGTTAAGTGCTTGACAACTAGCCAACAAGTTAATAGTTCAAACCCACCCAGAGAGGATCTTTGGAAGACAGGTGGTCACAGCCTTTGAAGACCCCTTGGCATACCTGATCCAGCCACTGAAAGACCCATGTGGGTCTCAGGTAGACACACAATGTGTGGTCCCAACCAGCAAATAGAGGGCCCTGTAGGCCAATAACCCTAGAAAAAAAAAAAGCTAACAGAGAATCCCTGACAATATTATCAATGGTTCTGAAGCAAAAGTTACAAAATGTAATTATATTTCTTAATTATGATGTTTAATGATGTCTGCACTGTAGGATAAGCACTGGGCTGCTAACTGCAAGGTCTGTGGCTCCATACCATGCTACATCCATTATCTCTGAAACAACTTCACTTCAGTTTACTTCCTTTATAATAATATTGGATGGTTGAGAGATGGTGTGACCAGTTCAGGCCCCCGAAGGTGACAAGCTGTGGAGGGATTTTGTCCTGGGGTTGATTCCCTATTCTACAACCACCTGAGCAAATGGAGGCAGGAGGGGACTTTCTGGATCCATGCCACAAAGAAACATGTTTCTGTGACCAACTCATATGGGACAGCAATGACAATAACAATAATATCAAAGACACATGAGTTCTTCATGTTCACCCAGAAGAAGAACCAAAGGCCCCAAGGAAATGAGGGACTGCAATAGATCCAGTTCTTAGTAATAAAGTAACACACTCCTTAAAAGAAAACAACTTAAAAGTAACTCCTTAAAAGGTGTTACTGAGCTGATTCCAACTCATGCCAACCCCATGTGTGTCATAGGAGAACTGTGCTCCATAGGATTTTTGAGGACTCATTTTTTCAGTACATCACCAGTACTGGTGTGGAGCTATGGGTTAATGAGCTGGACTGCAAAGTCGATTTGAACAGCAAGGTCGGTGGTTCAAGCTCACCAGCCGCTCCTCAGAAACCCTATATAGAGTTGCTATGGGTTGAAACTAACTCCACAGCACTTAACAACAACAACAACAACAACAACCAGGCCTTTATTCCAAGGTGTGGACTTGAATCTCCAATCTTTCAGTTAACAGTTAAGCACTTAACTGTGGCACATAAAGCAGTTGAAAACCACACCTGTGCATCAACTCAGTTCTGTGGGCAAGGCGTCCAGCACAATGTGACAGGGTGTCAGTCTGGACTTCACATGCTGAAATTAAGGGGTGAATCTGGCTGAGTTCTTGTTTACAGGCATCGGAAGATCATGGTTTCCAAGCTGAGTCTTGTTGGCAGGTTCAGTTCCTTGGAGTTGTCTCCTCTCTAGCTGTGAGCTATGGCCACTGTCAGTACCAACAGGCTGTGGACATCCCTTAACATGCAGCCCCTCCCTCTCCCAGCCAGCAACACCACTTCCCTGCTTCCAGCCTCTAGCTCCCTCCTCTGAAAGCTCTCTGCTCCTAAAGGGCTCTAGTGATGAGATCAGGCCCACCCAGGTCAACCCCCCCTTTTAAAGTCAACAGTGCCATACAGTTTAGCACACTCAGCAGAGCACTTTCTTCACAGGTGTGTAGTCCACGGACTGTTCAGCGTGTGTCCACAGGGGCAGGGAAGTTTGGGGTTGGTTTGGAATCTGCTGGCATTGCCAAGGGACGTTAGCAAGTCTGGAGCCCTGAGTCCTCTTGATGTTTCCAGTGAAAAATAAGTCACCCTTACTTAACAACAACAGTCTGGAGCTACTGGTCATATTGTAGCAAATGATTTTTGCTGCAAGATTTTTGAGAATTGCTCCTATTGACTAAGTTAGTGCTTCAAGGAAACAATTGTAAACTATTAAAACAACAATTGAATCGGTTTTTAAGACAGATAATAATTATAATTAATCACAGCCATTGACACTTGATGCAAAAGCTCTTCAGAAAACTGGGAGAGGAAAACTGAATTGTTGCTGGGGTTATCTTTTGTTTATTTCCAAAATAAAAGAAGAAGCCTGGAACCCGGAAGTCAGTTATTTAGCCCTTTCCCACTAAGAACACTCTTTCCTTTAATGGCTCCCTTCATGGTAGTCAGGCCTGCTTCAGGTGATTCTGTGAACACAGTGTTTCTATTGGCTAAGTTCTTATAAAATACACCACGGATCGTACTCTGGCAGTGAATATTTTTCAAGAGTTTTGTAATGAAAATATTGATTTCATATATGTTATTGTTAAACACTGTCCAGTCAGTTCTGAATCACAGCCACCCTGAGAGAGTTTGAACTGCCGACCTTGTGGTTCAAACCAGCTTGTGATGAGTGTTTATCCTATACACCAAGACTTCGGTATATGTTGTTTCTACTGCCACATAAACCAGGAGCAAGGTGACTCTGTGGAATAAGCACTGGACTACTAACCACAAGGTTGGCGGTTCGAGTCCACCAGTTGCTCCTTGATAGAAAGATGAGGCTTTCTGCTCCCACAAAGATTTATAGCCTCAAAATCCCTATACAGGGTCTCTATGAGTTGGGATCATCTCGACGATATTTAACAACCACCACCAGTATATATCTGACAGCAGGAAGAACAGCCACAAAGATAAAAAGATCCAAATAATTCACTGCAAAGTATGGCTTTCTGTAGGTCATGGTACCTAATCATTGTTGTTAAGTGCCCTTGAGTCAGTTCCAACTCATAGTAACTCTATGTAGCGTTTCCAAGGAGCAGCTCCTGAGCCTGAACCACTGACATTGCTGTTCAAATGAACCTTGTGGTCCTAAACATGATCCCGCACTGCCACACAAATTCTGAAAAGCAGGGAGCTCCCTGTGACTGGAGACAGAGGAGAGGCTCAGCAGAAGAAGTTGGAGAGTCCAATAGTGAGGGGATTCCAGGGAACTTTGTTGGCTTTAAGAGGGAGGAACCACATATAGGAAATAGAGTGTGAGTCTTGAGCTGAGGGGCGTCCTCCATGAGGTCCAGAATGCACTGTGTGGGCTGAGCGGAGCCCTCAGTGAAGACCAGAGTGAGATGTATGTGCTGAGGGGAGTCCCCAGTGGGGAGCAGACTGAGCTGTTTGAGTTGAAGGGAACCCCATTAAGGATAAGAGTGAGACTTGTAAGCTGAGGGGAGCCCTCATTGGGGATGAGAGTGAGATTTGAGAGCAAGAGGAACCCTCAGTGGGCACCAGAGTGAGGTGTGTGAGCTGAAGGGAACTCCATTGGGGACCAGAGTGAGACTTATAAGCTGAGGGGAGCCCTCATTGGGGATGAGAGTGAGGTGTGTGAGCTGAAGAGCGTCCCATTGGGAACCAGAGTGAGATTTGGGATCTAGGGGAGCCCCCAGTGGAACAGGAATGTGTCAGCAGCACACAGAACCTTCCCCAGAACCTCCAGAAGGGACCATGGCTGCCCACAGCTGAAGCTCAGCCCAGACTTCTGCCCTACAGAACACGGGAGGAACTTCCATCCATCTTTTTGGTATCAGCAATAGAGAACTCATATATTGTTGGTACAATGGCCTTTCTTTTTCTTTTTTGAAAAGCTTTCTGAATAACTGGTATAAAACCCCAAACCAAAGGCATTGTTATCAAGTTGATTCCAACTCACAACAGAGTAGAACTGCTTTGCAGGGTTTCCAACACTGTCAATCTTTACAGAAGCAGAATCCAACATCTTTCTCCCACAGAGTAGCTGCTGGGTTAGAACCCATCAACCCTTTATCTTTTGATTAGCAGTCAAGCTCTTTAACCACTGCACCACCAGGGTTAACTGGTCAAAAACCAAAACTCAACCCCATTGATACTGAGTCAATTACAGCTCATAGAGACCCTATCTGTGTAGGGTTCCTGAGGCCGTAAATCTTTGCAGGAATAGAAAACCTCCTCGTGCTTCTGTGGAGTGGACGGTGGATTTGAACTGCTGGCCTTGTGATTAGCAGCCCGATGTGCAACCCACTATGCCACCAGGACCCAATACAGACCTCACCACGATAGTCAGGAGTAGAAATGAGCATTGAAAGTGTTAAACAGTGCAGTTAGAAAATCTTCCCATTCAAGAGTCAAAATCACCGTCCAGGAACTGAAATGGTATTATTAACTTCCTGAGACAGAACAGGTTTTGAAAGCTAACAAAACTAATGTTATGAAGAACAGCAAAAGTTGAAAAAAACTTACAGAAACAATCACTTTTGAAGCACCAAATCTTTCAAGGACTTTTGTGTCCCTTACAGTCTGATTTCTTCTTATGTGTTCATTTGGGAAGGCCCTTTAGTGCATCTTACAAGCATTAGTTCTTGAGGTGAACATGCCCCAACACACAACAAGCTCTTTGCTAATGAGTTGATTCCAATTCATGGTGACTCCATGTGCTAACTTAGTACTGCTCTGTGGGGTTTACTGGAGAAACAGATTGCCAGGTCTTTGTTTAGCAGAGGCTCTGCTGTCAACCTTAGAGTTAATACAGACAGCGCTTAACTAAGTGTGCCACCAAGAAACCGCTGGACAAGGACCCGTTAACAAGCCACTGAGCACATGAATACTCATAGTTGTTGTTAAGTGCGGTCAAGTCAGTTCCGACTCATAGCGACTTGGTATAGGGTTTCCAAGGAGCAGCTGGTAGGTTTGAACTGTCAATCTTGTGGTTCACAGTCCAGTGCTGATCCTGCAGTGTCACTTGTTGTTGTTGTTGTTAGGTGCCATCGAGTCAGTACCGACCCATAATGACATTATGCACAGCGAAGCCATCAGAAATACTCAGGGGGAACTCTGAGGGAGTTCAGAAATAAAGCATTCATTCACCTTTGAGCTAGAACTTTCATCTTGTTGAATAGACAATAAAAATCAGAGTTACTTCCGGGGAGTATTTACAATTGGCTATTTTAAGTGTATTCATCACCAAGTCCCCAAGAGATAAGCACTATTATGACTTGCATTTTGCAGTTGGAGAAACTTAGGCACAGAAGGTTTAAGTAAGCTATGAGTGGTCAACTGTGGCCTGGCTCCAGGACCCATGTTCTAAACCCACTCTGTAGCACCCCCAAAACACTGCTAAATACATTGGGAAGTAGTAACATGAAGCTTTTAAAAAAATATTTTATAATTCTGAGCGTTTTGCAAAATCCAACAGTTCTACAGATTTTTCTCAATCCCATATCAATTTGAATCAGTAACCCTGTTCCCATGAACAGAATGTGCTTAAAAAAGCAATGGAGATCAAAAGAATATCCTCAGATTCCCATTTGTAAAATTTCAATAAAGAAGCCAAACCTTAGAAAATGACAAAAGTTTGTACCTGTGCATTATCCCACAGTGCTATACCAGTACTCCACACACATGATAAACATGGATGCTTTGTGTTTGTTTCGTGAGAATTACAGAATGGCAACTGCTATAGAAAATGCCCCGAAGTCCAGATTATTTAAAAAAGAGCACTCTAAGCTTACATCTATAAATGTCCATTCATATGATCCTTTCATCCTTCCAGATACACACATGCATACATTGACACATACCACATACATACATACATGCTCATATGCAATCACACACTCACAAATAGACACACACATCACACCCACACTGAAATACATGCCCACACTCACACTCACACAGTCATATAGACACACACACCACATCCACACTGAAACACATGCCACACTCATACACACTCACAGTCATATAGACACACACACCACATCCATACTGAAACACATGCCACACTGAGACATACTCACAGTCATATAGACACACACATCACACCCACACTGAAACACATGCCACACTCAGACATACTCACAGTCATATAGACACACACTCCACATCCACACTGAAACACATGCCCACACTCACACACACTCACAGTCATATAGACACACACACCACATCCACACTGAAACACATGCCACACTCAGACACACTCACAGTCATATAGACACACATACCACATTCATATTGAAACACATGCCACACTCAGACATACTCACAGTCATATAGACACACATACCACATCCAAACTGAAACACATGCCACACTCAGACACACTCACAGTCATATAGACACACACACCACATCCATACTGAATCACATGCCACACTCAGACATACTCACAGTCATATAGACACACATACCACATCCACACTGAAACACATGCCCACACTCATACACACTCACAGTCATATAGACACACACACCACATCCACACTGAAACACATGCCCACACTCATACACACTCACAGTCATGTAGACACACACCACACTCAGACTGAAACAAACACAGAGTCACACACACTCACATTTATACACACACAGACATGCCACACTCATACTGGAACACATTCAAACCCACACTGACGTATACAACCACACCTGAGCAAACACACACAGAAACACACTGACATACATACCATACTGAAACACTCACAGGCACAAACCTACACACACCACAACACATAAATACACTGATCACATGTACATATACACACTGACACATACACAGATACAAAAGCACATACATGCACACTGACAAACACACGTGCTTCTACAAACCACATGCAGTCACATACCAATACACATTTACAAACTTACTCATACTTACACACACATTGCCCCTGTCCACACAGTTATACACACACACTCACACATGTCCCCCAGATCTTTACTTTGGTGTTAGGGTCAGAGTTTGGGAGAAGGTAGCACATCTCAGATCCAGCCCTAAGCACCAGGGATCCTATAGCTGATCTGCACCCACCAGGGGAAGCCAGGTTCCAGGCGATCAAGCAGCCTTCCAACATCACAAACCACACACAGGACATGTGCCACACGACTTTCTTACATTCAGGCTCCAGGCCTCCAGCCATGGCTGTTCTCCTGCAGACACAGAGCTGCAGGGGTTTCTAAGGGAACAGATCAACATTCCAAGTCCCCACCCCCAGTGCATGCCTCTGTTGCTAAGCAACTAAGCACAGCCCCCATGGAATCTCCCAGGAAACCCTCATCTTTTCAAGGCTTCCTGCTTCTTCAACTTCCAGGGAGTTCACTGTGTTTGCTTGCTTGTTTGCCTTTTTTAAACAAAGACTTTGTGTGACTTGAAAAATATTAAAAATAGGATTCAATATTTTGCTCATGTTGTTGTTGTCAGGTGCCATCGAGTCAGAACTGACTCATAGCGACCCCATGCACAGCAGAAAGAAACAATGTCCGATCCTGCCACACTTGACGCCATCAATGATGTCACCTGGCTGATCCAT